AAATACTGTACAATTATTTATTTTTACATTATTTTGCAGCAGAGCTACCTTTAGAATTTAGTGTATCTTTTACTGTATGTTTGGGATGCAAGCATTGCTAAATGTTAGACTTCCAGGCTAAGTATGTTAGATTTCCAGGCTAAAGATAATTCAGTTTTAAAATGTTACCCTTTCAGAGATAGAGAATAAACTCAATTCCAAAAAACGTCCTTTCAGCTATAGACTTGGGGAGGCAACTTGGTGGCCCCTCCTCAGAAGCCAGTTTTCTTTTTCATCTAGAAATGACTGCACGTGGAAGTTGGTAATATGTAGGCATTTTGTAAATTCATATTGAGTAAATGAATGAAATTGTGACTTCCTGAGAATTGAACCTTGGTTTCCTAACCCTAATTAATGATAGGCTTGTTGCTTGATGGCGTGTGCAAACTCACTTGAAAGAGACTCTTCTAGACAGATCTTCGTGATCTTTCCACCCCAGTTAATCATCACCTCTTTTACACCAAAATGTCTGCAGGGTGTGGTAACTGTTTGTTTTGTGCCATTCTGGGGTAAAGAGGGTGGATGTGATGAAGCCAATAATTCAGGACTTAATTCCTTCTCATGCTGTGGTTTTGTGTCCTTCCACCAGAATATGAAATAGCTTCCAGGAGTTCCACATATATGCTTGGAAGAATCACATGGTGATAACACTCAGAATCTAAATTGGACTTCTGTTGTATTCTCACCACTCAATTTATTTTTTAGCAGTTTAATGGGTGTATTTTAGAGTCTTCCATTTTGTATGAATTTAGATCCTCCCCTTCAAATGCTGTAATTAACATCATTCAAAGTAAAATTTGAAAAATATATTGAAAAAAGTGTGATATACCAAAAGCATGAGGAATTACGGGAGCTGGAGTCTGGGGAAGAGTTATCTGAGGAAATAGTAACTAGGATCTCAAGAATGAGTAGATAAAGGCGGAAAGCATTGTAAGCCAGGAAACAGCACATACAAAGGCCTTGAGATGAAACAGTATATGACAATTTAGAGGAAGCGAAAGAAGGCCAGTGTGGCTACAGCACAGAAGGAAAGAGTGAAGTGTGATTTGAATAAATTCAGCAAATAGTATTGACAGTCCATTGTTACTGATAAGATAAAGCTGGAAGTAGACAGAGGCTGGATCATGCAGGCCTTTGTAGGTCATATTTAGAATCTCAGTTTTTATCCTAAGAATGGGAAGCTATTACAAAGGTTAAGCATTAGTTTTTATTTTATGGCTTGAGTGAAGAAAAGATTGAAGGGATACAAAGTGTGTATCGGAAGCGCAGCAACTGCAATAATCCTGGTGAGAGATTACGGTGAGGGTGGATAGAGGTAGTGAGAATCCAGGGATATTTAGAAATGTAAACTCATAAGATTTGGCAATTGAGTGATAGGAGAAAAAGGGAAATGCCTTCTATCTTCTCCAACTGGATGAGTACCAGGCATAGGATAGTTTATTAGGAAACATGTTGAATTTGGGATGTTTTTGAGATACTTAAGTGGAGATGTCAAACAGCTTGGAGGAGATCTGGAAGTTACCAGTAACTGAAGTTCAGAGTGGGGATGAAACCGTCCTAGGAAAATTAGACTGAGAAGAACAGGACCTAGAAAAACTTTTAGATTTAAAGGCTGGGAGGAGGATGAGCCTGCAAAGGAGGCTAAGCAGCTGTGGTCAAAGAGGTAGTAGTAAAACCATGACAGTACAATAAGACACCAGTGGAAGAGTATCAATGATAAGAAACTAGAAAACTATACCAAATGCTACTGAAAAGTGAGGTAGTGAGGACTGGGAAATAACCACTGGATTCACCGACAGGAAGATGATCACCAAGGTGACCTTGGTAAGAACCATTTCAATAGAATGAGGGTTGTAGAAGTCAAAATGGACTGGGTTGAGGAATGCAAATGGAAAATGACTCGTAATATGGAGAGGCCCAAACTATCTGTTTTGAGAAGTTTAACTGTAAAGTAGAAAAGATGGAAGCGTAACTGGAGGGGAAATGAGATATGAAGTGGTTTATTAACAGGGGAGTCTTTAGCATGTTTAAACACTGATGAGAAGAATTCAGTAAAGTGGAAGTCAAAGATCCTCCAAGAGGGAAGGACTAAGATTCTGAGAACAGGAATAAGCACTGGCCTAAGACAGAGGTATGCTTGCCTTGTTTAGACAAGAGAAACAATGATGCGTATGTGTGGGTAAATAAGTTGGAGGATGTTTAGAGAATTACCGATACCTTCTACTTTTGTCTATGAGGTAAGAAACAGTTACTTGCATAAAGTGAAGATAATGGTGCGGGGGAGTGACAAGAGATTTAAGAATGTTGGTTTGAGATAGTTATTGGCAGGGAAAAGTTAAAATGACTAGAAAAATCTAGGACTATGGGGCTGAGACTACATTTGAAGCTGATAACCATGGATTCATAGTGATATAAATTTCTCCACAGTTGTTTCCTTGGGTGGCATTTAGCTGTCCAAATGCAGACACAGATAAGTTTCACTTTATTTAAGGGTTCAAAAAGAGATGAAAGGCAAGGAAATTCAGCCTATTGCAGGAAAACCACTAGTTTAAGCTATACAGCAATCTAAAGAAGGAAGGTACTAATGGAAAGTAGAAGCATTGGTTGGAGTGAAATCAGAGAATGATGGAATAGTTCAATAAACCAAGTGGAAGGAATATGGTCAATAAATAAGGTGCAAGTATTTTGAAGATAGAGCAGTTTGTGGTGATGATAATGGCCAAGACATGACAAACGGAGTGAGTGGCCAAGACAGAGTGGAAATCATCAGAGATTGGGCCAAATAACTAAGAGACAAAACACCAAATAAAGTGTCTATGTAAATGTTAAAATATCAAGGAGTGGATAGGAAGACCAAGGGCTAGCTATTTAGAGTAAAGTAGCAGCAGAGTAGTACTAAATGAGAGTGGTAGACAAGTAATGAGAGGGTTGTATGGATGAACAGCCTCAAAAGAATGAGGCTTTGCAAAGGAGTGGGCAGTTCTGAAGTCACAATGGCAAGAACACCAAAGTATCTCCAAAGTTTATGTTTATGATAATATGATAAAACTTGTCAACATCTATTCTTTAGTGCTGTGCTTGGAATATCACATTGCTCCCATTATGCCAATGGCTATCACTTTATGGCAAGACCTGAGGACCAGGTTATGGAAGGCAGAGTGGTAGGAATAAAGTTTTTCTCCTGAACATTAAATATTTTTAGAAACAGGAAAGAACCAGGGCAAGAGATTGAAATTTTAAGAAAGGGATTAAGACAGAGGTCAGACTGAGGGACACTTGTTTTTTCATGCCTAGAGGCAGGTTAAGTACAGATAGAAGCTCTCAAAGTTCAAAGAGCAAAGGCTTTAGAGTCAGACATATCTATGCTCCTAGCTCTTTTTTAGCAATTACTATTATGTGACATGGAAGGACGAGAGCACAGATAATTCACAATGGAAGTTGATTCCAAGGATACACACACATGTTGATGTGGAAGGGTCCTCTCACCAGCAGCACAGTATCACAGGTCCCATCCTCCTGTCTTCTGGAAGTTAAGATGTTCAAACCTGTTTTACTTGCATTTATATTTCCCAAGGACAGAATGCCACTCAGTGGGTAAGGTCCTGGTCAGCAACTTTTACCTTCCTAACATCTCTGTTCAAGAGATGGCAGCTAAATGGGGCAAAAAACATGATTGGAACCACTTTTCTCAATAAGACACTTTGTATAGGCCGGCAGCAGTGGCTCATGCCTGTAATCCCAGCACTTTGGGAGGCTGAGGTGGGCGGATCATAAGGTCAGGAGTTCAAGACCAGCCTGACCAATATAGTGAAACCCCATCTCTACTAAAAATACAAAAAAATTAGTGGTGGTGCATGCCTGTAATCCCAGCTACTTGGGAGGCTGAGGCAGAATTGCTTGAACCCGGGTGGCAGAGGTCGCGGTGAGCCTAGATCGCGCCAGTGCACTCCAGCCTAGGCAACAGAGCGAGACTGTCTCAAAAAAAAAAAGATACTGTGTATAAAAGGGCCTTCTGGCACATTCTGGATTCTTGCTTCCTGATCTGTTAAGTGAGGCTAATACCTCTTACTTACAGTTGTGGTAAAGATTAAGATAAAGCATGACATCTACCAAAATCAGAACCTACACAAAGTGGGTGCTCAATAAATACTATCTTAAGAGGCAGCCTGGTGTGTTAAAATGAACATGGACTTTAAAGTCAGATCTGCACTTTAATACCCTACTTGAGAATTTCAATTTTCTGCTCTGTAGATAGGATAGAACATCTGCTTTGTGGGTAGTTGTAACAAGTTTTAAAATTATTACTGTGGAAACCAATGTCTAAGAGCTTCAATTCCTCTAAAACAGGAAACAGGGTCACCTGATGAGGGGTATGGGATTAAAGACAGCTGTGAAGGTGTAAAATAACTGCCAATGGTAATTAGAGAAGGAAATGGACCAGGAACCCATAAAGGTGCATGCTGGTGTGAGGACTAGGTCGAGGTTGGAGGCTTTGAATATTTAGTGGCATTCATTACACAACTGTTTTTCTCTAGCAGGAATAGAAAAGACAGAATAAATGGAATGATACAAAAAGATGGCCAAGGGTGGCAAGAAAATGGGGTGATGGAATGATATGCTATTCAGGCTGCTGAATACAGAAGTAAATTACACAAAGTTGGGGGGCGGGGGAGGCAATAATGAGAAAAAAACGGAGAGGCTGGAATTAGAAATCACAGAATGTACTCAATGAGACCAATGTGGGGCAGATGATGGAAAGCTGGAATTAGGAGATTCTAGACAAGCAGTGAAACATTAAGGTAGCATTAAGGAAGTCACGAAGATTTCGTTTTATCCTTTTTATCATAACCATTGCCATCTACTTCTCCCTTCAGTTTCTCTTCCTCAGATTTGGCTGTATTGCAGAATATGGTCCCCAACTTTCTCCCTTCCCGATTGCCCGTGAAGACAAGCACACAGACCTTGGTTCAAAGGTTTTACTGCTCATCCTGAGAAGACTGTACATGCTAAGAAAGTAACAACCTGGGGAAATGGCTGAAGTTCCAAGACTCCAGACTTCTTACAGGTTTCATCTCTCTTCTGTGGCCACTAACTTCTCAAGGAGGCAGTGCCCAAAAGCCCTGTGGTTTTTTGATCCGTTGTACTTCGACAGCTTCTCCTTTCCCTAGATCCAGCAGAATTCTAGACATATAAGACATAGTTCACAAAACAATAGTTATGAACCAACAAATACTTGGTTCACGGTTATAAGCCATTGAAGTCAGTCAGACTTAAGGACAACTAGACAGAACTCCCATTTTCTGTCATCTGGGCAGGAACCAATCTCCTGTTGTATCAAATGGCCTTCTGGTACATTCTGGAATCTTGCTTCCTCATCTATTTAGTGAGGCTAATACCGCTTACTCGTAGTTTTGTTGTAAACTAAGATAAAGCCTGACATATTACTCATTTTAAAATTGTACACACAGACCCTGCTTTAACCAGATGCCTGCAAATACTCAGGTTTTCCTTCTACATATAGAAGACAACTTATCAGCTGCCAGGGCTGAAGCCAGCAGATATGGCTACATGACAGAACAAAGGATTATGCCAATAAAGTATGCAAAGCTTCCTTGCCCAGAATATAAATCAAACAGAGTAAAAAGCGAGTATATTGGCTCCAGGAAAAGGAGCAAGGACAGCCAGTTTTCAGGCAACCTCGAATTCTCTCCGTTTAGGATTCACCAACCCTAAGGTCCACTGGGTCCTTAAATCTGAGGGTCCATCCAGGGCCTTCCCTCCTGGGGTTGGGGATGGCTAGCTGCCTGATGGAGAGACCCCAGGCTGCTCAGCAGCAACGCCTGGCACAGCCGAGACAGCCTCGTAGTCTGCGATGCGGCGCTGTACCAGGGCAGGCATGAGCTGCACGTAAGCGGCCATGAGGCGGTGGTTGGAATGGATCAGCTTCCCAGCACAGCTGTGCAGACAGGCCTCCTAAAAGGAAGATAGGGTTTAAGCGGAAAATAAAGGTGTCCTGTCGGGCCCGCCTCCTTCCTTCCCCATGCACAGCCTAGGGGTGAGGGTCTGGGAAGGCCAGGACCAGGGGTAGGAGAAGTGGGGTGAGGAGGGAAGCAGTCTACCGCTAAACTCTGTTTGCAGCGTAACCTCCTTACACAGTTCCCCACCTCCTCAGCGTCCAGAGCTCGGTGGTGCAAGCTGGGCACACAACGCTGGAAGCAGAGTTCTGTCATCCGATTGTAGACCAACAGGAAGTCACGCAGCTGGGAGAAAACCGGGACCACGAACTCAGCGATATGTGCCCCACACTTCTACTCAAGGTCGCGCCGCCCAAAGTTTCCCAGGCCCGCGCACCATAACCCGAAGTTTCCAGCCCTCAGATTCCTGGCTCTATGGGGTTTCCGCGATGTGTGCAGGAATGCGAGCTGAACGTCTGGCCCCGAAACGACTTAGTTCTCACTCACGTTTCTCAGTTGCTGTTGCTGCTGCTGCGGCTCCATCACGCCACCGGCGCATGCCCTACGCCACTTCCGTTTCAGCTTCTCGGTGCCGCCCCGGAAGTAACCTCTCGCTGCTCTCGAGAACCAAGCTAGAGTATCGCCCTGCCCGGGCTGCGACGTCACTTCCGCCCTTATAATCTGCGACGTGGCCGGCTTCTTCTGCCCGGAGAGGACGTCACTTCCGCCGAGTCCCTGACCTGCTGCTAGGATCGCGACGGGAACTGGAGCCCGAGGTCCCCGCGCGGCCCGGGCCTGGCGCCCTGAGGGGAAGAGCGGCCCGGCCCGAGGTGAGAGGGACATGCTTGGGCGACGGGAAGTTGAACGCACAAACCTGTCCAGAGGGCAAGATGCCCCGAGCCCTGGGGAAGAATGAGGACACACCTGATGTCCAGGTGTATGGGGGTGGGGGCGGGGACTCACATACCTGGGATACTGACTGTGGAAGGGATCACCGATATCCTGGTAAAGACAGGCTTTTGCCAGAGACTGGGAACATACACCAACTGTTCTAACTAAGGCCTGGTGGGGAGGGCCCGAGGAAGAGGAGTTGTATGAGACGGAGGAGGGGAGACCCCCTGAAGGAAGGGGGAAGAAACACTAAAGGAGTGAGAAAGGCCAAGCAATGGAGAACAAACCTGAATGGGGGGTGAAGACCTGAGCCCCGGAAAGGGTCCATCTCCTGCTCAGCATAAACACGCCTGCATGGAGATAAGTTCTAAGAGAGCATACTTTCCCTCTTCACTGTTGTATTTTCATTGTCACAAATAGTGCCTGACACAGTAGGCACTCACTAAATGTCTGCTGAATGACTGAATGAGTGTAGAATAATCACCAGAGGCCTGGTGAGGTTGGGGGCTTGTGAGAAGACACCGTGCTTTGGTGTGCCTGTGTACAAATGTGCATTTTGGAGGGGAGAAATACATATACCTGAAGAAAGGAATGATGACCAAACGCTGGGACACTCAAACCCTGGGACAGCCTTTAAAGAAATGACAGAGGAGGCCTCCTTCTTCTAGAGTGCTGGCCAGTGCCCAGAACTTCTGTGTTGGGCTTTGCAGGGTGCTGGGGCGGAGAGTTTTACTCGAATACCTTTCCTAGCCATGACGGACGGGATCCTAGGGAAGGCAGCCACAATGGAGATCCCTATCCACGGGAACGGCGAAGCCAGGCAGCTTCCTGAAGATGATGGGCTGGAGCAGGTGCTTCTGTTTGATTCTTCTAATTGTTTCAATTTAGGAATCCAATTTATAAATCCTGGGTTCTCACCCTCCATTCCAGTAGCCTTCCCCTGACTTATCTGACTCCCTTAATTTTACATATCATTTTGATTCTGTGCAGACTTCCCTTGTGTAGTGTCTTTATGATGCTTGAATTCAAACTTGTTCCCACCTCCAAAATGCTTCTGCAGTCCCTATGTTCCTGAAGCAACCCCTCTTCTCTGGCCTATAGGACCTCCAGCAAGTGATGGTGTCAGGACCCAACCTCAATGAAACCAGCATTGTGTCTGGTGGCTATGGGGGCTCTGGTGATGGACTCATCCCCACAGGTATGAATGTTCAGAAATAGGAAGCTTGGGTGGAGAGGGGACAGGAATGGTTTGGGGAAGCATAGGACATGTCTAGGAAAGCTTGAATTATGTCTGGAGATCTTAGGAACTTCTGCTTGTAGGAACCCCATGGACTCTCCTCAGCCCAAAAGCAACTCCCAGCATTGTCCATCCATTTCCCTTTTGCCACTTGGCCCCTGAAATGGCTCATTCGTCCTTTCCCTGCCACCACCTGAGTCAAGTTAAGATCTACTTCACAGGAATGCCCCCTCTCTACAGCTTTAGGCTGAGTTGGAACTTTGTGAGGCTTTTCAGAATTTTTAGATTCTAAAGTTTAGAGGAACAAACAGCCCTGAATCTCACACTAAGATTCCACATGGGAATGCAACCAGGTTTCTTGTTATCATGACCCACCATCCTTGACTCCTGCTGCCGCCAAACTCAGTGTATTTTCTTCTGTTTCCTCTGCCCCTATACACCAACAACTCCCTGCAAACCCCTCCTCTGGCCTCCAAGGAGGCCATATGTATATCAGGATTTGGTTATCACTGTGCAAGGTCCGAGTTCCTCCTAGTAAACAGGAGAATCCAGTTGTCTCTAGCATCTCCTTCAGGGAAGTCAATTTCATATGCTGGGAGAGAAGCATGGGTGGGGCCACAGAGGTGTCTGGTGTATCTGAGAGAGGCTGGTGTCAGAGAACTTGATCCTTTAGGGTCTGGCCGCCATCCATCTCACAGCACCACTCCCGCTGGCCCTGGAGATGAGGTGGCTCGGGGCATTGCTGGAGAAAAGTTTGACATCGTCAAGAAATGGGGCATCAACACCTATAAGGTAGGATTTGAGCACCTCTCACTTCCCCAAAACTCGTTATGGGTACCTTTTTCCCCTTTCCTCATGATCGTAATATCCCATCTGTGGCTGAGAGTAGGAGCCTGGGTGGTGTTGGGGTAGATACCTGTTGTGTCGGGAGGCTATTAGGGTCTCTGATCTATTTCCCCATTTCCCAATCAGTGCACAAAGCAACTGTTATCAGAACGATTTGGTCGAGGCTCACGGACTGTGGACCTGGAGCTAGAGCTGCAGATTGAGTTGCTGCGTGAGACGAAGCGCAAGTATGAGAGTGTCCTGCAGCTGGGCCGGGCACTGACAGCCCACCTCTACAGCCTGCTGCAGACCCAGCATGCACTAGGTGATGCCTTTGCTGACCTCAGCCAGAAGTCCCCAGAGCTTCAGGTGCCTCACCCAGACCAAAGAGGGTGGGGGAACTGGGCATGGGCCCTCCCAGGCAGTCATTCGTCATCCTCCCTCCCTCCTGCAGCCCACAGAGAGAACCCCTTCAGGGTGGGCCCAGCCCTACCCCCAGCAGCACTCACCTGTGGAGGCAGCCTAAGGGTTTGTACAGAGGTCCAGAAGTTGGAGGGGGTGTGGGAGGGGGCACACTAGGTGCTTCACAAATAACCCCTCTCTGCATTGGGGAGAATGCCTTCAGTGCTCAGCCTAATCAGAGCCCCTGCCCTGCTTGCCACACTAGCTCTTAGACTGTTCCAGTCTTGTGAACTTATCCAAGAATGCCCACCACCCACATTCCTACCCCAGGTATCCCCAGGGTGACCCCACTGACTTTTTAGCTAAAAGAGCTTTGCTGGAGGCAGTCCTTGGTTCTTCCAGTTTTGCTGGCTGTTTCCTCCCCAGGGAGGAGGGGAATGAAGGGCTCTACAGCTCCAGTCAGGTAGGTAGTATTATTCAAGGTCTGTTCCTCCCTTCTGCCCTCAGGAGGAGTTTGGCTACAATGCAGAAACACAGAAACTGCTATGCAAGAATGGGGAAACGCTGTTAGGAGCTGTGAACTTCTTTGTCTCTAGCATCAACACACTGGTCACCAAGACCATGGAAGACACGCTCATGACTGTGAAACAGTATGAGGCTGCCAGGTGTGGGCACTGGCAGGGCTTAGGGTTTGGGGAGTTGGCTGGCATGGGTGGAAATTTGGGCATTAGGGGCATAAGAATTCAGGAAGGAAGGAGAGTATGTCTTGAGGATAAAGGGGTGGAGACCAGCCTTTATCACCCCCTTCCCAGGCTGGAATATGATGCCTACCGAACAGACTTAGAGGAGCTGAGCCTAGGCCCCCGGGATGCAGGGACACGTGGTCGACTCGAGAGTGCCCAGGCCACTTTCCAGGCCCATCGGGACAAGTATGAGAAGCTGCGGGGAGATGTGGCCATCAAGCTCAAGTTCCTGGAAGAAAACAAGGTGCCTACCCCACCCCCTTGACCCTAGCCCACCTTTTCATCTGTGACACTAACCTTCCCCTCAGACCCTCCCCATTATTGAATGACGAAATGCAGCCTAGCTAGGGAGTAGAATGTTACCCCCTCAACCCCTGGGCCTTTCCAGATCACCCTCCCTCCAATTCCTGGCCCTTTCCCGTTGGAGGATTTGGCTGCTGGTCCCAGGAACATAACTGGGAAAAATCTCCCCCTGAGCTGGGATACCAAAACCCTAGGCCCAACAAATCCAGTGAGGTCTCTTCCATCAGACTGACCCTTCTCTGACTCCCTGGGTAGAGTTCAGCCCCTACCCCAAAAGCACCATCAGAGCAGAGTCCTTGTGCCCCTGGTTTGTGCCTGGGCTCAGGCTCATAGACCCTCAAAAAGGGCGCCTGAGTCCAGCCTTAGCTGACCCTGCTGGACCTCCAGATCAAGGTGATGCACAAGCAGCTGCTGCTCTTCCATAATGCCGTGTCCGCCTACTTTGCTGGGAACCAGAAACAGCTGGAGCAGACCCTGCAGCAGTTCAACATCAAGCTTCGGCCTCCAGGAGCTGAGAAACCCTCCTGGCTAGAGGAGCAGTGAGCTGCTCCCAGCCCACCTTGGCTATCAAGAAGGACATTGGGAAGGGCAGCCCCAGGGTGTAGGAGATTGGACATGGGACATCCCTTGTCACTTGCCCTCTGGCTTGGGCTCCTTTTTCTGGCTGGGGCCTGACACCAGTTTTGCCCACATTGCTATGGTGGGAAGAGGGCCTGGAGGCCCAGAAGCTGTTGCCCTGTCTATCTTCCTGGCCACAGGGCTTCATTCCCAGATCTTTTCCTTCCACTCCACAGCCAACGGCTATGACAAAACCACTCCCTGGCCAATGGCATCACTCTTCAGGCTGGGGTGTGCCCCCTGACCAATGACAGAGCCTCAAAATGCCCTGTCAGCCAATGGCAGCTCTTCTCATACTCCCCTGGGCCAATGATGTTGCGTCTAATACCCTTTGTCTCTCCTCTATGCGTGCCCATTGCAGAGAAGGGGACTGGGACCAAAGGGGTGGGGAAAATGGGGAGCCCCATTGCTGGCCTTGCATCTGAATAGGCCTACCCTCACCCACCCACCCAGTTTAATTGTGCTTAGAGCCCGAGAAGATTGGGATCTAGCACTAGGAATAAACCTTTCATAAAAGC